TTCTCCACACGCACGAGCGCTGCGCCCCGCTGCTGCCTCCTGCTTCGAGGTGAGCTCCCCGCCGAACCCGGCTCTGAGTCCCAGACCCGAGTCCCCTCCCTCGGGCCGGGGAGCCGAGACGGCCCGGAAAGGGTTAAGGGCAGCTGAGCTCCCGCCCCCTGCCCAGGTCCGGCCTCTGACGCCGGGCAAGCTTGGAGCGGGAGGCGCGGAGCCCCGGAGCGCCGGCTGCCCCAGCTGGACCGCTCCCGGGCGCCCGGCGGGGCGGGGGCCGCCTCGAGAGTAGGGTGGGGGAGGGGACGAAGTTTGAAATAGAAAAGCCAGAGAGACTAGAGAGAGACAGACTCTACGGCTGCAGGCCCGGAGGGTCCGAGAAACTGAGGCTGGCAGAAACCTCGGTGGAGCGCGACACCGGGACAGAGGCAGGGACATGAGCGGTAGGCTTAGGCTCGGGTCTGCGGAGACAGAGCGCTACAGAGATATTGGAAACATGGACAGAGACTTGGGTGTACAGAGTCATCGAGAGACGGACACGAGGCCTAGGGGCGGATAGGATTTTGTGGAGCATTTTAAGATGAGACATTCATATGACCCCGTAAACACATTGCTGGGGCCTTGGAGGGGTCCTGGGCAAGTGAGGGGCCCTGAACTTTAAGTTTCTTTAGCTTCCTGGTAAGCCCACCTCTGGATTCAGTCTCTAGTTCAGAGGGTAGAGGTGGAGACACTCAGGCATTCTAAAGACAGAGACTGAGACCAAGACTTGGGTGTACAGAGACAGAAACCCAGGGAGGTGGTGGCCCCCCCTGGGAGATAGCTAGTCAAAGACAGAGATACCCAAAACATAAAGCTGCTGAAGTGTGCTGAGACAGAAATGCTGAGCGGAGCAGAGCCAGAAACCTAGAGACTGAGATTTAATGGAAGCAGAGAGACAGGCAAGCTGACAGCTTCCAAGACAGACCCTGAGACCCAGGCCCGGAAAGATGGGGAGGCCAGGATGTGGGGAAGCAGAAACTGAGCCCCCTTGAGGCCCAGGACCTGAGACAGTAAGATTGAGATCAAGAAGCAGCCCCATGAACACACACAGCCACCAAGACAGCCCCAATTTATTTTTAAACTCAAATCTTGGAAGCACTGCTTTAGCCCTGGGGGACCCGGGGTAAATGAACTGTTCCTCTCCTGTCCCCAGAGCAGCTGCTGGATCCTGTGCCCCATCCCCCTTCCCCTAAGCATCTCTGACTTCCAGGCCCCTTGGAGGGAGGGAAGGAGGGAGAGGAGTTTGGGGTTGGTGCCTGGTAGCAGGGGGTGGGGGAGTTTGGTTTCACCCCTTAAGTCTCCTGTCAACTCCTGGGAGCTGGGGGAGGGGTCTGTCCTGATCCTGACTCACAGCTGTGGGGCCCTCCTGGACAGTGGGGAGGGGGGGGGTTGAGTGGTTGGCATGGGTATTTGGAAAGGCTTCTGGGTGTCTTCCAATCACAGAGCTGGCAGCTGGGGGGTAAAAGGGGAGAAGAGCCAAGCTCCAGTCCTGGTGATATTACCCGGCATCTCCTGTTTCCCTGCCCTCAAATGCTGACCACCCCCGCCGCCGCCACCACCACCGAAACCCTTTCAAAGGCTGTCCAGGGAGAGAAGTGGGAAAGGGCTCCAGGCTGGGTGGCAGAGACCTGGGCTCTCTGACTACCAGAGAGACCTTGGGCATGGCCCTGCCCTAGCCTTCTTATGCTCAACTGGAAAGTGGGGACTGCCTTTTGTGAGGCCAGATGAGATGGTGGGTGTGAATGCAATTTGGGGGGGCAAAGCGGCATGCAGGTGCGCACACATCTGTACCTGTGGGAGAGGTTGCAGGCAGAGTTATGCTCACTGGAGCAGGGTGGCTGGGCCAGAGCCACCACTAGCCCTCCTGGTCTCCTCAGCCCACCCCATGGGCCTGAGGGCCTCCTCTCTTCCCCCGGCAGAACAGGGGGTTCTCTTTTTGTTCTATTCCTGGGCCTGCACTGAGAAAGTTCAGGTCAAACCCAGGCCAGCTCCCTTACCTAGGTGTCTTCGTTATCTTGTGCCTCTCTAACAGAAATACCGCAACTGAGCGGCTTTAACAAACAGAAATTTATTTTGTCTCAGTTTAGGAGGCTAGAAGGCCTAATTCAGGATGCCAGCTCTAGTGGAAGGCTTTCTCTCTGTCAGCTCTGGAGGAGGGTCCTTGTCTCTTCTGAGCTTCTGCTCCTGGGCAATCTTCACGTGGCTTGGCGTCTCTCTTCTCCCATCTCTGCTTCTAGCTTGCGTTTAATCTTTTATATCTCAGAAGAGATTGATTCAAGATACACCCTACACTAATCCTGACTCATTAACATAACAAAGACAACCCATTCCCAAATGGGATTATAACCACATGCATAGAGGTTAGGATTTACAGCATATACTTTTGGGGGACATAATTCAATCCATAACACCAGGTCTGGCTGAGAAACTGCCATGTGACCCCAGAATGAAGGAGGGACTAATAATAAAAAAACCAACAGCTAACATTTACTGAGTGCTTACTATCTCCAGGTGCTTTACAAGTATCATTGCATTTAATCCTTATAACAACCCTAGGACATAGGAAGTATCATTATTTTATTAGAGGGGAAAATGGGCTCAGGGAGCTTAAGTGACTTGCCCACGGTCACCCAGCTTAGTAAGTGAAGGAGCCAGGATTCAAACCCAGGTTTATGATTTTGCCTCACACACCAAGTCTGTTATCCAGCCATCCTCTGCTCTAGGAGGTGTCCTGGGAAGTGCCAGGTGTGTGTCTGTATGTGTGTTGTGGGGGAGGGCAAGGGCTGAGATCCCTCTGGTAGACTGAGCAAGTCTCCCTGCCACCCTCCTCCCCCCACCCCCAGCCAGGAAGGACTGGCTCCCTCCAATCCCGCCAAGCCCTGCCAGAGATGTGGGGAGAAGGGGAATGCGCAGAGACAGGTGGACCTTGATAGTGCCCTTCATTCTGTCCTCACCAGAGCCCAGCTGGACAGACTAGGGGATTCTGGGAAGGAAACAAGCCACGCCCATACCCTATTTGGGGTGCCTCTGTCTCAGAGTGATGACTCTTTCCAGAGGGCGGGCAGGCCCAGGGCTAGCCTGGGCCTGGGAAGGTGGCTGCTGCTGCTGACCAAGCCAGAAAGGAAGGAAAGGACCTGGGACACTCCTGGACACAGGGCCACACTCTCCGCTTGCATGGCCCCCTGCTGTCCAGTGGCTGACAGCCCAGGCCAGCCTCAGATGTTGGGCCAGAGGAAACCCGCGCCTGGATGGGGAAGGGTACTGAGCAGTAGAGGCACCTGGCTGCATAGTCCCCCACCCCAGGAGTCCTGCTCTAAAGACCTCAGCTCCTAGTGGCCTCAGGCCACCAGGTATTCTACCATTGTACAGAAGGGGAAGGCAAGAGCTCCCAAGCCATCCCTTCAGAGGAGCCAGGCCCTCAGGGCTTGGGGTGTCTGCTGGCGCCTGGAGTCTGGACTCCAAGCCAGAGCAATGCTTGTTGGCGAGGATTTCCTGCTTATGGTGGCAGAGAAAAGGAGAGCTTTTCCTTCAACTTGATCCAGGGCAGGCTCTGGGGACAGCCAGTCACTGGGGTCTAATGCAGGAGGGAGTGGATTGGAGGGGTTCTTTGTATGTCTCTTTAACTTCCCCCAGACTCATCTGCAGCTGTGAAACAGCCCAGCTCAGTGTTTCAGCGCCTTCCTTTGGGTCCTGGTGGCCCCTCTCCACCCACCCTGGATCCGGGTCCTTAGAGAGCTGGCTTCATGGTGGAAGAGGCCAGGGCTGGGGAGCTCTGACTTTGGGGCTAGAGACTGCAATCAGAGGCAGCAAAAGGGACTGGGAACCCCACTTCCCTACCCCCCCATTCTCCATGCTCCTGTTCCAGAGGCAGCTGTGTGCATGACCTCATCCCGCAAACATGCTTTGTTCCTGAGAAAATGGAAAGTGTCTGAGGTTTGGTGGGGGGCTGGGTGTCTGCAGCAACAGCTTTCAGGGCTCCCCCATGCCTCACTCCCCCACCCCGGGCCCCCCCGCCACATTGGGGAAAAAACGGCTCCTGCTCCCTCACCCTTTATTCCCTGTCCCAAACTCTTAGAAATCAGAAGAGCTAGGAAGAGGCTGTGTCTCCCAGAGGCAGGGAAAGGGAGACAGTGACCCCAGGGCTGCACCCGATGCTGCCAGTGGTGGTTCTGGAGGGTGGAGCATACTTCTCTCTCTCTCTCTCTATATATATATATCTGTCTTATGTCTCTATCATTCTGTCTTCATTTCCCCTATCCCTCACAGCCATCTCATTTCCCTTTTTTCTCCCCTGTTGTTGACAAAACTTGACATCTGGCCATCTGGGCTATCCCAGCTGCTGCAGATGTTGCAGGCCAAGGCTACCCAGGCCGGTGTGACCAGAGACACAGCAGGGGTGGAAGGGGATGAGAGCAAAAGTTCCAGCTGGGGAAGCCTGGCCGTGTCCAGCTTGCAGGATTTCCTTCCTGCTTAAACCTAGGCTGAGCCTCTGAAGTTCTTGTTGCTTGGCTGATTCTTCTGGGAGGGGAGGCCTGACTTCTCACACCGGTCTCCTCCACCATTCATCCGTCCGTGTCTAGCATTCCACCGTTTCCTGGATCAGGAGGGGGTGGGGACAACCCATCCCTGTCCCTAACTCCCCACTCCAGACATCTGGTAGAGGTTCCTTTGTTTACTCAGCATCCCTGGGGTCTCTTCCTGGGAGTCAGGAGAGGGTGGGCATGTTGGTCAGATGAGGTAGGGTGGGGTGGCTTCCTGCCACCCTAGGGACAGTGGTTGCTAAACTCAGCCTGGGGCAGGAAATGAGTCACTGACCCAGGAAAAGCCCCCTCCCCCCAGATCTGCCTGAGCATAGATAAGAAAGCAACTTTGCTTCCTGATTCGTTCCTGACCCCTTCCCACCCCCACCCATAAATACAGAAATAAACATTCAGGACTTCTAGGTTCCCAGAAGTACCCCTTTTCCATCCCCACCTGCTCTGACCTGGCATTTCCTATGCCTGGTGCCTTTCTTGAACGCAAAGGGTTTTTGCAAGGGGCTAAGCGACAGCCCCTTTGGGTAACCGCTACCCCATCTTATGTTCCTAACAGGGCCCACCCACAGTGCCACCATGAGTGAGGCCTTTGACTGTGCAAAATGTGGTGAATCCCTGTATGGCCGTAAGTACATCCAGACGGATGGCGGCCCCCACTGCGTGCCCTGCTATGACAACACCTTTGCCAACACCTGTGCTGAGTGCCAGCAGCTTATTGGGCATGACTCAAGGGTGAGGACTGGACCAGACAGGGCAGGGAATGGGTGGGGGCTGGTAGGAGGGGGCAAAAGGTGACTCTACCAGGCCCAGGTGCCAGCACCCTCAACCGTGCCCCCTGCAGGAGCTGTTCTATGAAGACCGCCACTTCCACGAGGGCTGCTTCCGCTGCTGCCGCTGCCAGCGCTCCCTGGCCGATGAGCCCTTCACCTGCCAGGACAATGAGCTGCTCTGCAATGACTGCTACTGCAGTGCCTTCTCCTCACAGTGCTCTGCCTGTGGGGAGACCGTCATGCCTGGTACGTCCCCAGGGGCTCACTGTATGCAGGGACTGGTATGCATGGCATCTACGTGGGGGCTTAGCATGTGCAGGGACCAGGACGCCTGACATCTATGTAGCGTCTTTGCGTGTGCAGAGACCAGCATGCCTATCTGATTACATACATAGAGACTTGGATGTGTACAGACCTGCACACAGTGTGTTCTTGGAAATTTAGTGTATATCATATTTGTATGCTCTTGGGGCTTAGCATGCACAGGGACTGACAGGTCCACGTATACACACGACAGCTTAGCATGTGCAGGAACTGACAAGCTTGGTATATTCCTGAGGGCTTCATGTGTGCTGGAACAGCAGGCCTGGTATACATCTGGAGGCTTAGCATGTATGGGCAGACTGCCATGCTTGATACATACCTGGGGCCTTAGCATGTATAAAGACATACACGTTTGGTACATGTAGGAGCTAAAGGTATGCTGAGATTCTCATGCCTGGTGTCCCCAAACCAGACCCACTGCTGTCTAGTCGATTCTGACTTATAGCAACCCTATAGGACAGAGTAGAACTGCCCCATAGGGTTTCCAAGAAGCAGCTGGTGGATTTGAACTGCCAGCATTTTGGTTAGCAGCCAAGTTCTTAACCACTGTGCCACCAGGGCTCCTTAGTGTGTGCAGAGACAGATTAACAAAGGGCTTAACGTATGTGGGGACCTGCACCTAATATGTCAGTGGAGAATGGCATGCCTGAGACATGCAAGGGTTCAGCATGTACTGAATCTGTCATGCCCCAGGCATTAGAACTTTGTGTGATTAGAGACTTGCTTACCTGGTATATGTGGGGTCTTTGTGTGTAAGGTCCCTGGGTGGTGCAAATGGTTTGCACTAGACTAGTAACCAAGAGTTTGGTGGTTCAAACCGACCTGGGCGATGCTACAGAAGAAAGGCCTGGCGATCTGCTTCCACAAAGATGACAGTCACGAAAACCCTATGGAGCTCTGTTCTACTCCATAACATATGGGGTTGCCATGAATCGGAATCAACTCAGTGGCAATGGTTTTTGTTTTTTTGGTGTGTGTGTGTGCGTGTGTGGGTGTGTGTGGGGGTGTGTGTGGGTGTGCGCGCGCACGCTAATACCATCATGTCTGGTGTATAAGGGCTCAGCCTATACTGAGATTCATGCCTGTTACATCATATCTGGTACATATGGGGGCTTAACATATGCCATAACCCTCGTATCTAGGTTATTGGGGCCTAGGACGGGCTGAGCCATCATGACCAGTGTTTGGGGTGGAGGTTTGAGGGAGGTTATTGTATGTAGTATGTGGTGGGGCCTTCCTGCATATGCATGGACACTGCTCAGGCTACGGGAGCAGTAGGGACTCTTGGGGGGGGGTAGCAGATTGTGTCCCTCTGGAGCTTGGGACACAGCCTCTGAGTGGGACCCCTGTTCCCTACAGGGTCCCGGAAGCTGGAGTATGGAGGCCAGACATGGCATGAGCACTGCTTCCTGTGCACTGGCTGTGAGCAGCCGCTGGGCTCCCATTCCTTTGTGCCCGACAAGGGTGGTCACTACTGCGTGCCCTGTTATGAGAACAAGTTTGCGCCTCGCTGCGCCCGCTGCAGCAAGGTAGGGGCTGGGACAGTGGGGTGGGGTGCTAACCTCCACTGTACTCATGGGTGGAGGTGAGTAAGGCTCTGTTGTGGGGTGGGAATCCCCACTCTCCCCAGCTGATGAATGCTGCCCCCACAGACACTGACACAGGGAGGCGTGACATACCGTGACCAGCCCTGGCATCGAGAATGCCTGGTCTGCACTGGCTGCCAGACACCCCTGGCAGGGCAGCAGTTCACCTCCCGGGATGATGATCCCTACTGCGTGGCCTGCTTTGGGGAACTCTTTGCACCCAAGTGCAGCAGCTGCAAGCGCCCCATCACAGGTGGGACAAGGGTCAAAAAACAGGGTGGGTAGGGTACAGCCAAGGGAGTGGGATCTGGTATTGGGTGAGGTTGAGGGGCAGGACTTAATCCCAGGATTTGCAGAGCTGACCTCCAGCCTCCCTCCAGGACTTGGTGGGGGCAAGTATGTGTCCTTTGAAGACCGCCACTGGCACCACAGCTGCTTCTCCTGCGCCCGCTGCTCCACCTCCCTGGTGGGCCAAGGCTTCGTGCCCAACGGAGACCAAGTGCTGTGCCAGGGCTGCAGCCAGGCAGGGCCCTGAAGCAGGGCTCCTGGGCCCAGGCCCTCCCAAACCAGGGCTCCAGGACTATGGCTCCCTTTCCATACCACCTCTGGGACCCCGGCCCCTCCCCAAGATGGGACTTCCCCTGGGCTCCAAGATTCAGCCTCCTCATCCCAGCATCTCCAAACTGGTACTCCATGACCCAGGGCCCCCAAACCTGGCCTCTTATGGAGCCTCCAGGATTCAAGCCCCCACCCCAACCTGGATTCTAGAACTCAGCCCTCTCCCGTATGATCTCATACCAAGGCCCCTTCACAAATCAGAGCTCTAGACCCCAGCCGTCCAAACCTGGCCCCTGGAACCCAAGCTTCCTTAAAGCTAGACTTCTCTCCAAAGACTTTTGGTCTCCTATGGGTGCCTGAGAAGTCCTAAAAACTGGACTATACTCAGGTCTGATTCCTCTGTCCTCCCCCCCCCCCATTCCACTCCCATCACTAGGGCTGGGGCTGTCTGGGCAGCAGGTTGCTGGCTGGGGGTGGCGGCCTTAGGGTGCAGGGGTTCTGTGTCCATTGAGTGTCTTGTCATTTCAGCTCCATTTTGCCCAGAAATGGGCGGAGGTGTGGCCATGGCGCCCCCTTTCCAGATTCTGCAATAAAGCAGTGTGAGGAAGCATCGGCCTCCATGTGTTTGTCTGGGGGAGGGAGGGGAACGAAGCTTCCTTTGCCATCCCGGAGAGGCTGAGGCTCTTCCTAGACCTCTTCCGTGCAGGGCAGAGGGGGAGGTGGCCGCGACTCAGGGTGGGAAGCCTCTCCCGAAGAAGGGATCCCCGACGCAGCTACCATCCCTCTCAAGTTTAGCCAGCCTCCCTCCTGCTGGCCCAGGGCTTTTTCCTCCTTGTGGGGAAGGGAGGATGAGGGTGGGGGTTCCGGACGGGGGGAGCAGGAGGAAGAGATTACCTCTGGTACAAATCGCCCCCTCCCCTAACAGCCCTTCTCAAATCCCTCAGGGCACCCCGTCCTGATCCCCAGTCTGGGCCGAGACACTCAGCCCGCTTCCCCCACTTCCCAGGGATTAGCGGGGGCGGCCCGGGATCCTCTCTCGCGGCCGCACGTTTTTTGCCAAAAAAGGCAAGGATGCAGCTGCACGCGCCGCGGGAACATCTGGATCCAATTCCCGGGATGAATGGGTCATCGCCCCGCCCC